TTTCCCAGGAGATTGTGGGTCACATTACAATGCAGAGCACAAAGAATCAATGAAGAGTGGGTATGGGCCACCCCCAGCTGCTGGCATAACAGGATGCATCTAACATCATGTGCACAAACCTGTAAGGAGAAACCATTGCTTTGTGCAGTGAGATGACCACTCTAGGTTCCTATTGAGTCCAAATGATTGTACCATATCTGCATATGATTCTAATTCAGTAGCTTCTCATAGGAATCTCCCTTTAAAATTTTCTACTAAAGTACTACAACCTTTTTCACTAAAATCCCCCACAAACACACACTGGTTGCTGAAAGTTTTGATTTTTAGAGTATGATTTATGTCTGTTGTTCTCTCGCAATTCATGATGCAAGCAACATCTCAGGAATCTATACAAGACCATCCTGAGAAAATAAAACACCTGCCTGGCTGCAAGGCTTATTTTGGCCTTCCATTGGTGAATGATGACTTTGATTTCCTTCTCACTTAATCCCCAAACAGCAACACAACATCTCTCAGCTGCAGGATAAAAAGGAGTCTGTAGGAAATCAGCAGCATCTTATATAGTTTTGTCCCCCAAATCCCAGTTCAGCTCCTGGCTTCCAAGCTGGCCTTTCAGCTTGGTTCATAGACTTGCTTATTCCCTTGCCTGCATGACCTTAAGATCCTACACAACCTGGGGCAGACTGCATTTCAAAGAGCAATCCTAAGGAGGTCTACTCAGAAGAAAGTCCCATTTTATTTAATGGGGCTTACTCCCAGGAAAGCATTTTTAGGGTTAGGGCTTACAGTTTGCAGTGCTAGATCACATGAACCCACTTTGGGTCAGACCCTTGGTTCCTCACGGTCTGCATCATCTACTCTGACCAGCAGCAGCTCTCCTGGATCTCAGGCAGAGCTCTTTCAAATCACCTGCTGCCTGTCTCATAATGTGGAGATGCCAAGGATTGAACCTGGGGGCTTTATGCATGCAAAACAAATGCTCTACATGGACCACCCCTAATCATCAGCAAGCAGTTCAGCTTGTTAAGAATTGCTAAAAATAGACTATGGAATGAGATTCTGTAGACAAAAGACTTCTCCAGATGCAAGAAGAAGACAGGGTCAAATTCATGCATCTGCTCCAGGGGTCCTCAGCCTTTCTGAGCCTGTGGACACCTTAGGAATTCTGACATAGTGTGGTATGTGCAGCCACAAAATGGCTGCCACAGGAGGTGGAGCCAGCCACAGAGTGGGTGCTACAGCTTGCCTTCAATCATGCAGGGAACATCTTTGTGCTGTGGTGGCAGCTGCTGCCAAAGTAATGTTGTTGTTTTTAAAATCAGTACAGCCAATCAAATCTCCATCAGCCAACCAGAAGCTTTGCTGGGCAAAAGCCTCACTTTCTAGAAACATGTGACAGGCACCAGGAAAGGTGTTGGGGGGCCACGGCACCACATTGGGGACCTCTGCTTTACTCTGATGAAACAACCTCTCCCATAATACCTACAACAACTTTGTCCTTAAGATTTCACTAGGTTCTCGGATATACTGTTTTCATTTGGAAAAAAGTCAGGCTCTGTCAGCCTAACCTACCTCACAGAGTTGTTGTGAGGATAAAATGGAGGAGGGAACAATTATGTGTGCATTCCTGAGTCCCTTGGTGGAAGACTGGGATAAAAATACACTAAGGGTGCTTGTTTGTTTTTAAGTCTAGTCTTTTTGGGGAAAGTAGTGTGAGTCTTAGGTCTATATGTATGTACACAGTTGGGGGGGGAGAGAAATGTACCATGCTCTTTTATGAGATGTTTGCAAATATGCTGGAGGGGGGGAGTGAATTACAGAAAACCAGCATTTAGGAAACAAGCCTTTCTAATTTTTAAAGGAAAGGTAAGGGGGAAAATAATTTTGAACACTGTAAAATCCCAGCATCAGACCAATTTCCAGAAACCTTATCAGGAAACTCAACTTACACATTGTGCCTCCTTTATTTCTGAAAAATGTTTTGGAATTCTACTTCCTTGGAACCAGAAAGGCAGGTAGCCAGACTTGCCTTTGCTGCCTTTTATGAATGCCAGAGCTATCCCTCACATTCTGCATCCCCAAGTCACCCAAATGGAATTCTTCTACATTTGCTGATACTGATATTCTGGAGAGACGAATTCTATTGTTTTGGCATGAGGCTGAATCTGTTGTAAATGAATGGATCTGCTTCATTTGTATCTTTCCCCCCTTATTTCCCCATCAAAAACATGAGCATCATACAGTCCACATGATATTCATATGTTATGTGCATATTCATTATATATGCAGTTTGAGAACTGAGCATATTAATATAACTCTTACTTCATATGAGAAATACCTTTTGTACATCATTAGAATAGAGAAATGCAGGACTGCAGTAAATCACTTTTTTGGTAAGGATTTACATCACATAGATGTTTCTGAACATGCAATCTTATAGTGCAATATGTTCGTGGCACCACGTTATCTCTCCTAGTGACAGTATTGATGTAAGTCAATAAAGTGTATGGAATAGACAATAAGCTATGAGCAGCCAATCAATGATATCCACTTTTGAGCACACCACTCAAAATCAGAGTGCTTTGATTGGAAGTTCCACAAAAGCCACTTCTTCCCATGAGACAACTGAAAAAAAATTTAAAAAATGAAAGCCTAGCGTGTTCTTTTGCCATATAGAAAAATTCAATTATTCTGCTCATCCATAGAAGGGCAATTTTACACCAGACGACTAACCTGGATTGTAGTTCTAAAGTCAAAACATGATTGTAAGGACTATTGAGTAAAAATATCCCAATTATTACCATCTCAGTGTACATACAAAAGACAATGATGCACAAAATGATTTTTTAACGTGGTTCATGTACAACTTAATTTGTTCTCCACCTCTCTGGAACAGTTTCCCAAGTATTATGTGCAGGTCTGCTGTGTTTTAAACACACACACACAGAGCAAAAGCCAACCCCCTTTTTTATATGGTTGCATTTAACTGAAGCAATAGTTGTTTGTGGTGTGTGTGTGTTTAAATGTCCCTGAAGGACATCAGAACAACACAGTGGCAAAGCATTGTTGCCTTTTCTTTTCTTATTTCTTTCTTATTTCTTTACCTTTTCCGGAGCTGGGAACTGCAGGTGATTTACTTCCAAGGGTGTTATCAAAGGAACTGTCTGAAAACCATCCTCATTGGACGGTTGCTGCTTGTTCTTGTCATTCAAATTGCTCCCCAGTTTCACCATCCTTAGACTTCACTTCCCAGACCTAAAACATATGAAGAGGACCAGAGCTGAGGTGGGAAAAGACTAGCAGTTAGGAAGCAGATACTGACTTGCAATGCTCCACTCTGCCCTGCACAACATCTCTCACTTCCCCTTTGCAGCTCCCTGCTAAATAACATCTCACATTTTATAGCAACTTATTCCAGACACCAGTTAAAAAATAATAATAAAAACATCAAGCATGCTCCTTGACTGATCCTCCAAAAGTGTTCTGATCAAGCTTCTTTTAGAAATCATATTAAAAAGATAAATCAAGATCACGTCAGAGGAATGAAATGCCCAGCCCTTGCCCTGGTGCTTTGTTGCAAATCCATGGAAACCACCAGACTGGTAAAAGGGGTGGTTTTGGCCCAGGGTCAGGATTTATTTATTTTTATATTTTTTTTTTGGGGGGGGAGATTGTAACTACAGTAATTAACCCTTTGCAGTGTAGTGTTTGTGGGAATTGTTATTTAGCAATCTCCAGCTCTTAGGTATCTGCTAAGGTCTGCTATTAAAGAATGGCCATTGTGGAACTCGAAGACTCTTCGTTTTTAAGAGTCACAGCAAAAGCAGACATAAAAGAGGTATCTTCCTTCACCATTGTTTCTTTCTCCTTAGAAATCTGTACGGGGGGTGGGAGGGAGGGAGGGAGGGGGCGCACAACAACCAGCAAGCTTCATAATCAGACCCATCAAACGCCCACCCGAAGCGCCCACCCACCAGTTTCCCACTGGGTACTTACTGCGGGACGCACCACGCACTAAAGAGACTCAGGCCGGATTGCGCTAGAGGGATTGGGATTTGTTTCGGGGTTTTTCCCTGGGTGGTGCTGAAAGGACAGCGCTCCTCTCCTCAACCGGCTGGTTCTCAATGCTGCTGAAAACGAATCGGGAACCGAGTGCAGAGAGCAGCTCGAGTCTGCGGTACGCAAACACTCCCAAGCTGGGGCGGCGGCGGCTTCCGCGCGGGATCTGGCACCACCTGCTGTTGCAGCGGAGGGCCACAAGCGCTTGCGAGAGAGGACGAGGAGTGAGGCGCTTGACTCGCGACGCCACCTGCAGCCTACTCTGGGAACGACAGACAAGATTCCCCGTCTAAGCATTGGTTGCCTGTTTCCAGCAATTTAATGGCGCTTCTGTCTGCCTTGTAGTTTTCTCTTGCTTATGATGTAATTTACAAATGGCACTTCTTGAGCAAACAGATAGGACGACAGATAGCAATGCTATCTGTAGAAAACAGGCTTTATCACAAAGAAACCCTAGGCAGGAATTTCCATCAAGAGCTCACAGACTGCAGGTAGCAGCTGTGGTCCAAAGAAGACTCTATGAGAAACAGCCATGTAATTCCCTTTTTCAAAATTTTGGACCAGTCTAAATCACACAAAACAGCATGCAAGTTTTCCAGTTCTCCAGAGCTCTTCAATGGGCTGGATGTTAAAGGAGGGAGAAGTATATTTCATGGCTAGATCTTAAGGCCTCTTGTTTGCATCCTGTGTGAACTGCCCTTTGTAGACTTGAACTGGTATCCATGCTGGGCAGAGCTGGTATCGAGTTGCACCTTTTGTCTTCTAGGAAGGAAAAATGGTAGCTTCAGGTTGGGCAGTGTGAGATGCTAAAGTGGTGAAGAGTGATACTTGAATATTTTTCTCTGGTCTGCTGTGGAGCCTCAAGGAAGTCAGAGATGAATTTTAAGAAGTAAAAAGAAGATACTTTCTAATGGAAACCATGTAGTATGTTTCTTTAAAAGAAATGCAGCATCTAGCTTCTAAAGAATGTGTTTGGTTGTGCAGTACAAAACAAATACTGATATAAGCCTCAGCACACCTAATAGGAAATAAGTCCCATTGAATTCAGTGAGATTTACTTTCTAGTAAACATACTCGGGATCAGAGAGAAAGATTCCCCACAGAAAGTTGGATTGCTAAGAAATAAGATAAGAGACTCCTGCCTGACTCCTAGCAGAAAAGTCAATAATGTATCCAGTGCCACAGACATAAAGATGTCAAGGACTGAATTTACTATGCCTTGATCACTCTTTCTAACTATTTGTTATGCTGCCTTGCATGTCAATTTCACCTGCAAGCAGAGCAATTTTTTTTTAAGGCTGCTAGTATAGTGGCCTTTAACTACTAATTTGGATTTTGGTGTTGAGTCACTGACCCATTTCACTGAGCCATCGTGGGTGGATCAATAAGGGAGCCAGTCCACTTTCTTGCTTCTGGCTGGGAAGCAAGGCTTTTTCCTCCCAGTAGCATCAGAGTCCCATAATAGTGACAGACTAGGCTGTTTTTGCACATAATCCTGACATGTGTTTCTATCATGCTGTGTGTCCCATGTGTTAATGTATGACCTAACATGGAAGGAAAACAGAATGTACATTCTTCCAATATGCACTTTGTAGTCATGTGATGCAGTTGTAGAAGAAAGCCAATTTAAGTTGTGCGTATGAAAACTTCCTATGTTTGCTTTCTTCCTTTCACACATTACAGTTCGAGCTGTACAACTAAGATTTTCTTTAAAGTATGTACCTAGGAATATAAATTGTGACAGGCAGGTGTTTGACTACACATGCATCATCAAGAAATCTGAGATTGTCGGTGGCTCTCTGTTGAACATATATGTGGTGGCAAACCAGGCTTGGTTGTTATATGAAATGCCCTTCTGACAAACATTCTCAAAACACCCAACCTGGAAATGGCTTACCTGAGCAAACTCAGCCATGAAGAGAAGCTTGCCTCTTCACTTCTGCCCAATCAGATGGCTTGTCTGTTTTGGAGGATAGTGGGTTAGTCTGGCATGGCACAGGCTGAGAGTATAGGATTATGTTGATGGATATTATCTTTCCACAGTAGGGAGAAGGTGCACTAGCTAAGCCTTACAGCCTCAAACCAAAACCAGAAACACCTGATGAGCAATTGTGATTGCTTTGTGTTAATATTTTGAGAACCTCTGAACAGAGCTCCCTGAGTCTTCTGACCATTGTTGGGATCACAGTTTTCAACAGCTGTCTGGAGGAACACCAGGTGTAGCATTAGTGGTATGAAACAGAGTGAAGGCTAGGCTGGGGACCAGATGTCCAAGAGCCCTAGTATGTGGGTCATAGGCAAGAAATGAGACTGAGGTCAGGCTGAGGGCTGAAGTGTAAATAAGCAGTCCAAACAACAAAGGCCAGAGGCAAGAAAGTGTAACCTAGGGCAGGCAGTCAAGTTGCAGGAAGCTGAATAGGCTTGGCCAGCCAAAAGCACCAGCTTTAGTCTAAGACAGGTTCTCACAGGCCAACAAGACTGAGGAATCAGCTTGCAAGACCAGGCATTATGGGTTGGCTCCTTGGATCTTGTGAAGAAACCAGGTCAACTGATCCCAAACCAGGAGATGAGACTGCAGCCCAGGAGGCATCACTGGTATACAAGCTGCTGCAGTTGGCTCCATGGTGGAGTTGTAGGACTAGGAGGCATCTTGGTTCAGGTCCTACTCTGGTGCCTTACAAGTTGGAATGTTAGTTTCAGGGCTTGAATCCATTTTTAAATATCCTAGGAGTGGGCTAGAGAAATGGGCAGTGAATAAAGCAAGGAACAGTTGCAATGCCTTTATTTTTTAACACTAAGATATCTGCTTGCTTGAGAACGTTAACAATGGAAGAAGTAAGAAAGATGTCAATCATGCTTAAGGTATCAAAGGAAACACTCTTGGCTTCAAGACAAAAGAGCCATTCCATCCAGCATAAAGCCTAAATATATAACCAAACATTAACTAACATTATTACTTCAGAAGTCAGAGATACATATGTAGCAACATTCCATATTAGCATAATGTGGTAGGGGAGTGGAAATGTGGCTGTCCCAGAAGAAAAACTTGGATTAAAATAAATATATGCCCTTTGAATCCATTATTTCTCTGTTCTTAAATTTTGGACCTTCCTGTCAAGGCAGAGGGATCCTCCTACAGTATTTTTTAAAATATAAAAGCTGGTTGTAGGATTGAAACCCCCTTGCCTTTAAACTTGCCCAATCAATTCTTTTAGCAGTAACAATTTTATAAAAGTGGGTGCTGCAAGTTTCAAACTGTCAGCAATGCCCAGAGACTGGGAATATGTGAGATCTCAGTAGAAATAAAATTATGACAGCACAGAACAATGCAAACTGGAAACCTCAAATCAAAGAGGAACCTAGAGATTTTATTGCATAATAGATATAATCTGATGTATCTACCTACTCAGGGCCAATATAGGCAACAGAACACTCTGTGGGAATATCAGGCACTGCTTTCTGCCAACAGAAAATTGTGTTATTTTTTATTATTTTAATAACTCTCTCCCATTATGTAATTCCCCTTTTCTAGATGCTCTCACCATCGGTTCTGATACTTCCTTTTCTTTAAGTGGTCATCCAACTCAGGTGCACATTGACCTTGGCTATGTCTTCAACAAAATGGTCAATGTAACCAGCAAGCTCAGTTTTATTTTATATACCAAGTATATGCACTGATCACACAGCTGTTATCGGAAATATTATATTTTTTTTTCTGCCAAGCTTTTCCAATCATTTATAAAGCATGTTTAGATAATATATGCAAACTTTTGTTTTCCTGTAAATATTTCAGAAATGAGTCATGTTCCTTATTGCTCACATTAGTATACATGACAATATTTAATTAAACATGTACACAGAAGCAGTCTAAACTGGATACACAGACAATATGCTTGTGCAAATAAAATGCTTATCAAACATCAGAATAAAGTTTTCTGTTCCTGTAAAAATACATATAAACACATTTTTATTTTTTATTTTATTCATTTAATTTATATCTCACCCTCCCTGCCTAGACAGACATAGGCACAGCCTGCCCGATGGCATGTTTTCTGGCACAATATTTTTTCTAACACCAGGGGAGCAGTGTGATACAGAGCTAAACAATACAATTATATGTATTCAGTGAGTGTGGGGCTGCCAAGAATCACCATGGGCCCCGATCCAAACCAACTTTCCCTATGAGGAAAGGTTAAAGTGCTTAGGGCTCTTTAGCTTGGAGAAACAACAACTGAGGGGTGACATGACTGAGGTTTATAAGATTATGCATGGGATAGAGCAGGTAGAGAAAGAGGTACTTTTCTCCCTTTCTCACAATACAAGAACTCGTGGGCACTCAATGAAATTGCTGAGCGGTCAGGTTAGAATGGATAAAAGGAAGTACTTCTTCACCCAAAGAGTGAGTAACACATGGAATTCACTGCCACAGGAAGTGGTGGCGGCTACAAGCATAGATGGCTTCAAAAGGGAATTAGATAAGCATATGGAGCAGAGGTCCACCAGTGGCTATTAGCCACAAGGTATAGATAGGGGCTCTGGGGCAAGTGATGCTCTGTTTTCTTGGTGCTTGGGAGGGGTCAACAGTGGGAGGGCTTCTAATGTCCTGGTCCCACTGGTGAAGAAGAGAAGAAGAGACTGGATCTATAGCCCGCCCTTCACTACCCAAAGGTGTCTCAGAGCGGCTTACAAACTCCTTTCCCTTCCCTCCCCACAACAGACACCCTGTGAGGTAGGTGGGGCTGAGAGAGCTCTTGACAGAAACTGCTCTTTTTCAAAAACATCTCTTATCAGAACTATGGCTTGCCCAAGGTCATCCAGCCAGGTGCAAGTGGAGGAGTGGGGAATCAAACCCGGTTCTCCCAGATTAGAGTCCGCGCACTTAACCACTACACCAAACTGACTGGTGGACCTCCTGATGGCACCTGGTATTTTTGGCCACTGTGTGACAGCGTGTTGGACTGGATGGACCTTTGACCTGATCCAACATTGGCATCTCTTATGTTCTTATGTTCTTAACTATC